AATGATAAGAAGTGCATAAGATCTGCATTAGAGACTTTCTCTTTCTACGAGACACCAATTCCACGATAGAAAAGATTAAACCAATAACAGCGGAAGAATGAAGAAAGACCTTGAAGGCTAAAAAATGGAAAGAGAAAAGCTTAATTCAAACGGACTCGCAAACGTATGTTTCATGAGAACCAGAAGACAACAGAAATAGATTCAAGACTAGTAATATAAATTGTTAATTGTTAATTTTTCTGGAGAAACGAATATGAGGCAGTCCATATGGAGAGTAAGATAGAGATGTCCTCAGAAGTCATTTAGAAGAAAGTTTTGAATTCGGAAAGAGTGTATTCATAAAGTAAACTGGAAATTCTCATAATATTTTGCATTCTCATTGAGGCTCTCGTTTACCATTTCCCAAAAAAAAATCTGACGCAAAACTAGAGACTGTTTTCTTTATTCCGTTTCTGATAGATCAGCTTACTTAATAAACCAATGTATAACCGAGAGCGAAGGGCAAAAAGTGGCTAGGAAGAAGAGGGGGGAATAACGCACGAGAACAGAAAAAATGTATAAATAAGCTTAGATAAAAAACGAAGAAAGATATGTATGATGTATGACGAGATTTGGATTATTAGAAGACAATTTTGAAACAAGAGAGCGTTAATTTTTCCCGCTCTGTTCAGTTTAATTTGCGAAATGAAGAATGTTCCAAAGTTCTTTTGACAAGACGCCTGTTACGCTTTTTTTGTTCGTTTAAATCGAACATGTGGCGCGTATAAGTTTTGTGAATCTGAAACAATAGAATATGCTTTTGAAAAAATAGAAAAAGGTATAGGAAATTGAAACCTAAAATGTGTAAACAGCATAACGTTTCCCAAATTATGTCTGCGCTTCTATTTTAGGATGGGTATAGTACTGATAGCAAGAGTGGTACATTGAGAATATGGAATTTACGTTGTTAAAGTGGGAAGTGAAATGAGAATTTCTTTCTCAAATTTCAAAATCTTCTTTATCTATACCCTATGAGTAATAACAACTTGTTAGCCCTTTTCAGGATTCTCAAAAACCCGTGACAGTTGCATTGAACAGATAGTGACGGCATAGCTCCAATGATTACCTTCAACTCCAAGAACGGTTTGCCAAGTTGATTTCTAAAATCTGTTGACAATGTGTTGGAGACCCATGTACTTAGTACATAATTTGATCCACAGTAACTTCGGCCAAAAACGACCAGGAATGAGTTTGGAGAACAAAAAAAGTTAGTTTTTAATTTATTATTCTTCTATTTTTTTATTCAAAAAAAACATTGGAGCAGCATGAACGCAGAACTCGACAAGGACGTCGAGTTAGACCACCTCTTATAACTTTTTCAAGAAATTTTTTTTATTTCTGGAAGAGCACCGTGGACCGAATGTTTATTTTTAGAAGTCTTGCCGGTTTCTAGAAACAGCATAACAATTTTTTGCATCATTTGAAAGCATCAGGGCAGTGGGTCACCGGACACCAGCCCAAAGCTGAAATTTTAGGTAAGACCTCGATACAAAAAATGTTGCTAAGCTAGTGAGAGAGAGAGAAAGAGAGAGGGAGGAAGAGAGAAGGAGAAAGAAAGAGGGAGAAAGAGAGATAGACAGGGTGAGAAACAGAGAGCCAACTTGGACAATGGCTAAATTGTAACTCGCTATTATCAGTACTGCTATATACATAATCCTGGTGGCTCTCAGTGAAATTTCTATACTTTCATTTCATCCTGGATCTTGTAGAAACTCAAAAGATATGAACTTTAATTCGAAGGAAAATTCTTATATAATAAACTCTCTCTCTTAATGTTGTGTTCCCTCAATGCATAGTTCATAAGACCTATTTCCGTGCGCTCGCTAACGCAACTGCTACACATGGAAGTCTAATAGCATCCAGGGTATCTGTCATGTTGGCAGGTACTCTAGAATGTGCGCGGTTAGGAGCATAACCCCTCCATACAGAACATGGAGGTTCCACCTTTTTCATCTATTTTGTAAGAACTCCTCCACAATTGAATAAATCAGTTCGTCCGATTTTACATCCGGAGCTAACTATTCAATCGAGAATAGACTAAGAATAAGGGCCAGCATATCAGAGAAAAGATACAGTTAGCTTNAAAAGATA